GGTGGCTCGTGGACACCAATCTGTTGGCGGGTGCACCGTTCCAACCGATCGTTCCCGTAATGTCCATCACCACAGATGCCTCCCTGTGGGGTTGGGGTGCTCATACAGACGACACTTGTGTGGGTGCTCCATGGCAACCCCTTTGGAAGAGTCATCATATCAACTATCTGGAACTGCTGGCCGTAAAATTTGCCCTCAGATCCTTACTCAGACAGGTTGTAGGAAAAGCTGTGTTGATTTTTACGGACAACACAACTGCGATGGCTTATATCAATCGCCAGGGCGGGACCGTGTCCAGGTCCCTTTGCAGGCTAGCTATGGACATATGGGAAGAGTGCCTTCATTGGAACATCACTCTCCAAGCTGCCCATCTGCCAGGAACTTTGAACCAACAAGCGGATTTCCTGAGCAGAGGGGGAGCATCGGACCACGAATGGGAGTTGAACTCAAAGTATCTCCTTCCTCTTTTTCAACATCTGGGACATCCCCACATCGATGTTTTTGCAACTCGATTGAACAAGAAGTGTCCCAGGTTTTGCTCCAGAGCGGGGTTGGACCCTCTGTCAATGGGGGACGGTCTGTTGATGTCGTGGGCTCACGACTTTCTATACCTATTTCCTCCGATTCCGCTGCTCCACAGGGTGCTTGTGAAAATACAACAGGACAAGCCCCATTGTCTCCTGGTAGCCCCCTGGTGGCCTCGGCAGGTGTGGTTTCCGACACTGCTGCGGTTAGCCAAGGGATCCTTCGTACACTTCCCGCAGGAGTTGGATCTCCTCCAAGCTCAGGAAGGCCAGGTCCTTCACTACGATCCTCTGAGTCTCAAGCTGACTCTGTGGGAAATACGCTTTCAGTGATGGATGACCGTATCAATGAGGTCCTGTTGAATTGTCGTAAACTGTCTACTAGGACGTCTTACGCAAAGAAGTGGGATTTATTCCTACAGTACTTGAGTTCTTCCAATTTACCTCCTCCGCCAGTGGATTTGAGGTCTATTTTTGCGTTTATTTTGTCCAGAATGGACTTGGGACTCAGTTTTTCTTCAGTTAAGGTGTATTTAGCTGCGGTGTCGGCTTTTCATCCATCTATTGATGGCTTTTCAGTTTTCTCGCACCCCCAGACGAAACAGTTTTGTAAGGGTCTTATTCGCCTGTACCCTCCTCGTCGTCTTCCGACTCCGGCCTGGGATTTGGCTTTAGTTTTGCGTTTTTTGATGGGTAAACCCTTTGAACCGTTGGCCACGTGTTCTCTGAAGTTGTTATCGCTCAAAACTGCGTTTTTGGTGGCCATTACTTCTGCTCGTCGAGTCAGCGAGTTGTCTGCTCTAAGGTGTGATCCACCATATTTGAGTTTTTCCCCACATGGAGTATCGTTGTTTTTGGATATCTCCTTTCTGCCAAAAGTCGTTTCGGAATTTCATTTACGCTCAGATATAGTTCTGCCATCGTTTTTCCCGTCTCCCGTTAATGAAGAGGAACGGAAATTGCACTCTCTGGATGTTAAGAGAGCGTTGCTGTTTTATTTGGGCAGGACTAAGTCTTTTCGCCAGTCTCCAGCTTTGTTTGTGGCTCACAGTATGCCCGCACAAGGCAAGAAGATCTCTTCCCAGACTCTGTCTAGATGGATCGTGGAAGTGATCAAACTGTGTTACGCTTTGGCTAAGAAACCTCTTCCAGGTCAGCTTCGCGCCCACTCTACCAGGGCGGTAGCGGCTTCTACAGCTTTCATGAGAGGTATGCCATTGGAGGACATCTGCAACGCTGCGACTTGGGCTACTCCGCTCACCTTCGTGAAGCATTATGCCCTGGATGTCCGGTCTACTCGTCGTGTGGCGTTGGGTCGGTCTATTTTGCAGACGGCGCAGGTGTAGGGCCTCGGCCCCTCCTCCAGGTAAGAGTTATTGCTTGCTATTCTCCCAAGGGTGTGATGCACAGAGACCACGAAGAAGATAGACAGGTTGCTTACCTGTAACTGGTGATCTTCGAGTGGTCATCTGTGCATTCACACCACCCGCCCTCCTTCCCCTCTGCTCTCGGCCCTTCATCTTGTTTCTTTGAAGGCTGTTGGGCGGCGGTCAGAAGGAACTGGCGGGATCTGCGTGCCCCTCCTTGGTCATGCGCAGTGGAGTCGGCGCGTGACCTGGGAGAGGCGCGAAAATCCCTTTTTGCTAGCTATCGGTACCGAGAAGGTTCAGCGCAGGCGCAGTGTATCCCAAGGGTGTGAATGCACAGATGACCACTCGAAGATCACCAGTTACAGGTAAGCAACCTGTCTTTCTTTAGAAATCCTCCCCAGCCATTTTAGTGTGCTGGTCTTACAATGGCTTCTCCAGGTTTTAATATTCCATCGTTATTCGTTATGTAGACGCCCACCTTTGCTGCGGAATACTGTCTTATTTATTAACCCGTCAAATAGTATCTGGTTTGCTAGACCATCAGTGGTATCTGTTCAAAAACTCTCACCAAATTTATCCGACTCAACATTTCTAATCGGTGAAATGTTTGTGAATAGAAACTTTTGTTGATCTTGAAGAGGTGAAGGAGTTACACGAAGCTTTGATAATACATATATATAGTTATAGGAGGAAGGTCCGTTGTAGGACCAATACAACGGGCCCTAGGAGGACACGAGACCTCCTTGCACCCGCGGCCTGGACATGCCGCCGAGATCCCGGGGTGGTGGCACAGGCCGTGGTGGTTTCCCTGTGCGGGCGCGGGCAGTGCCCTATGGGCTGGCTTCATCACTGGCCGGCCTTGCAGCTTGGCGGTGGCTGCCGGGTCACAGGCCAACCATGGGTATTGGTTCTGGGCCGGCGGGGGCCAGCGCGGCATGAGGATCAGCGGCAGCTTGAGGGCACTCTGCCCAGTGTGGCGGCTCACCCATATGCTGCCCGTGAGGGAATGAGGGACGGGCCCATGCTTTCAGCCCCCCGGAGAGGCCCCCGGCTTGACAGGCGGTGGAATGGGTCGGCACAGTCTCCGTGGCTGGCCAGATGGCGGCAGTGTTGGGGCTGCCTCGAGCGTTCCATGGGCCAGCAGGGCGCCGGACCCCATGCGGGCGTAGGCCAGGCGGCGAGGTGGTGGGCCTCGGAGGTGTCCAGCCGCCGGAGCGTCCATCCCACTCAGCGGCTCCCCGGAGACCGAGGGCAAGATACTGACCGCCGGGTCTGTCGGCGGGACAGAAACGAGAGAGGGAGGCAATGCAGCCAGGGGATTGGCCCTCCTTCTGAGTGACAGACGAGGGATCCAAAGGCTGGGGAGGCGTGTGGAAGACTCACATGAAAACTCTTTTATATATAAAGGAGAGATTATAGCACGGCCATATTTTGTTGTTTACCATTCCAACCCGTGATCGCGCTTACTTGTAACCTCTGGAATTCGGGCACAGGGTGGTGGGTGCAACCAAAAAATGGCTACCCAAGGGGATAGAAGCAGCCACTAAACGTCTGGAACCGAGGTCATGCATAACTCTGAACAGTAGTGCTTCAACACTTCATGTGGTAGCAAGTCCCCCTGCTTCCCCCTCCCCACACACCTTTGACTGACAAAACACCCAGAAAGCGTAAAGACTGGCAACAGAGTGGTGATTGTCTAGCAGTGGCCACAGAGGGCGTTGCTATATATATATATATGGCAATTTTCAGGTCTGTAGAACGGTCTGTCTTGCCTGTTCAGGGCTCCGGTCTCCAGATTTAAGTATCCACGGATTCGGCCACATTGAGAACTGGATCGCTTGATAGGCACAGCTTATCTTGGGTCACGGAGGGAAGATTCTTGTGCTCTTGTAGCAGCTGCTGCTGAAAGCAGTGTTTTGTTTTTAAAAATCAGCGTAGCCAGTCAGAAGCCCTGCTGGACAAAAGCGCCCCCCCCTCCCCCTGGGCCCTGCCGGTTTCTGGTGATGTCTTCTTAGCAGTTATTACCCTGCTTGACAAAAATGTCATGCACAAATACTGGATGGGGGATACGTTTCTGGGGAGTAGTGCATGGGAAAGAGATCTTGGGGTAAGAGTGGACTGTAGACTGAATATGAGCAGTCAGTGTGATGCGGTGGCAAAAAAGGCAAGTTCAGTCTTGGGTTGTCTTAAAGGGGCCATAGCATCGAAATCGCAAGAGGTCATAGCCAGTGCTCCCTCTAAGCTGTGGAGTTTTGTGAGCAAAAGTTCTACTCTGTGAGCTGCTGGCATTGAAGTTGTCAGCCAGCCATTTGGCTCCTGCATAAATTACTTTGCTCTGGAGCCCTCCTCCCTGAGCTAAGATAAAAATGTGTGAGCCGGAGGCTAAAAAATCTGTGATCTAGCTCACGCTAACTCAGCTTAGAGGGAGCCCTGGTCCTAGCCCCTCTGTCTACTGCCTCGGTCAGGCCGCACCTGGAGTACCGTGTGCAGTTCTGGAGGCCTCATCTGGAGGCCTAACTTCAAAAAGGATGTGGACAAAATCGAGAGGGTGCAGATCAGGGGTCTGGAGACTGAGCCCTACGAGGAAAGGCTAAAGGCCTTGGGAATGTTTAGTCTGGAGAAGAGGAGATTGAGGGGGGACATGATTGCTCTCTTTAAATATTTGAAAGGCTGTAATTTGGAGGAGGGCAAGGAGCTGTTCCATTTGGCAGCAGAGGAGAGGACCCGAAGCAGCGGGTTTAAATCACATGCAGAAAGGTATCGGCTGGTTATTAGGAAAAACTTGTTCACGGTGGTTCAGAGGTGGAATCAGCTGCCTAGGGAGGTGGTGAGCTCCCCTTCACTGGCAGCTTTCAAGAAGAGGCTGGACGAATATTTGTCAGAGATGCTTTTAGGCTGGTCCTACATTGGGGAGGGGGTTGGACTACTAGACGGTCTGTACGGCCCCTTCCCACTCTGTGTGCTTCTATGATTCTGTGCTTGCCAGAGGAGCATAAAGCCCTGGTTACAGGGAGGGAGGGAGGGAGGGTGTGGAGGTGTGGGTGGTCTCTGGCTGGGCCTGGCTCTCCTCACCCTCCCCCTCCTTGTGGCTCTCCTTCCTGACCAGGTGGAAGAAGAACTTCAGGAGCAGGAGTTCCTCGACCGCTGTTTCCAGGAGATGCTGGACGAAGAGGACCAGGATTGGTTCATCCCGTCCCGCGACCTGCCTCAGGGCATCGGGCAGCTTCAGCAGCAGCTAAACGGGCTTTCCGTCAACGACAGCCACAGCCACGTATCGGAAGACATTTTGGTAAGTGTCGGGGGGCGGGGATCTGGCTGGCTGCGGTCCACGCTTTTGGGACCGTGCGCGCGCAAGGAGGCAGGCACCAACCCGTGAGTGTGTGTGTGTTCAGGTGTGACTAACAAAAGCAGACGAGGTCTTGTGGGTCTTCTGTGCCGCAGAAGGAGCATTCGCTTTAAGCCCACCGGCCCTGGGCCAGGGAAGAATCTGCACAGAAGAAGCCCTCCCCGTCTCCCTGTCCCCCTCCGGCTAGCCACAGTGGCCCACCTGCCAGTCGGCTGACAGGTCTTTAAGTTGGATCTGTGGTCAGGGGCCTGCCTACCTGAAGGACCGCCTTTCCCCCTATGTCCTCCAGGCGATCTGGAACTCAAAACCGCCTGTCCCCCCCCCCCCCGGGCCTAGGGGCGCCAGGTTGGCGGCAACTAGGACCAGGGTGTTTTCCCTGGTGGCGCCAACGCTTTGGAACGAGCTCCCTGCTGAGATCAGAGCTCTGCGGGATCTCCAGCAATTCTGCAGAGCCGTGAAAACGCAGCTGTTCCGCCGGGCGTTCCAGTAATCAATTGATTTCATCTGTCGAGTAGCACTTGCACTTTATGATATGATGCCATCGTATTTAAATAGTTTACTGTATTTATGGGATTTTAATGGAATTATATTTTGTGTCGTTCTTGCTGGTTTTTAAATTGTATGTTGGTTTTAAGACTCTGTGTAAGCCGCCCTGAGCCGCTTTGGTGGGAGGGCGGGTTAGAAATTTAATAAATAATACACACACAGACACA